TGTCTGAGCTTCTCTCTGGCCTTGGCACCTCCCGTGACAGCAGCAGGAGCAGAAGCCACACGAAGGGGAGCAGCATGAGTCTGGCCTTGGCACCTCCCGTGACAGCTGCGGGAGCAGGAGCCACACGAAGGGGAGCAGGACGCGGAGCTGGTCACACACCCGCAGCGCCTTCTCCCTCGGCTTCCTGATTTTTATCTCCTTTCTTTCAAGAAAACCAGAAGCTGATGCTGGCGAGAGAGCCCGGGCACCCCACTGCCAGCCTGCAGCCCCCGCTGAGCAGGGATGGCTCCAAATCTGCTGGGGGGGTGTGAAGGTGCTGCTGCCTCTCCAGGCACCGTCCGGGCACCCCACTGCCAGCCTGCAGCCCCCCCCTGAGCAGGGATGGCTCCAAAGCTGCCGGGGGGGTGTGAAGGTGCCACAGGAAGGCCATGGGTTCCACCTTCCCCCGTGAGCTCCTGTGAGGGCAACGCATCCCTCAGCCCCTGCAGCATCTCCCCCCAACCTGAGGAGGCTGGAGGGGCCCTCCCCGGCCCTTCCCCGTTTCATCTACCCTAGGAAACGGAGGGCTGGAGCCTCCGGGAGCAGCCCCAGGGTGGGGAGGGTCTGGGGGGGTCCCCACACCCCAGAGGGATTGGGGGCAGGGGCCAGAGCTCCCCCCTGGAGCGCGAAGCCGATCGCAGAGGGAAACCCTCGAGGAGTTTTTAACTTGTTGAAAATACTTTATTGCAACATCATACGGTCTCTGATTCTCCCAGCAGCGGGACTCTGGCATGGGAACACCAAACCACTTTACACTTAAATTAAAACTCACTTATATATAAAAAAGAAAATTCTTTTTGTACACACAGGCTCTGTGCCCCCCCCACCTCCCCGTAGCGGGAGGCAGAGGCTGGTGGCTCTTCCTGACAAATCCAATGGTGGAAAACCCACCAGCCCCATCTTTTTCCACCTGATAAGGCTTTTGTTTCTAGCGGCATCCAAAAAAAGGGCGATTTCTGCCTCCTTTTCCATACACCCCCCGCCAGGAGGACAACAGCCACAGATCCACCTCCTCAAGGTCACCCAGCAGCAAAGTCTGCCTCTGCCCTCTCTCTTTACCCTACTCTTCAATGGCTTTTCTCTCTTACAAAAGCAGCATTATTTTTGTTTGTTTTTAAACACCCTTTTATAAAAACTAACAGACAGGATCAACAACAACAACAACACAAAAAAATGCAAGAATTGCTTTTCAACTCGAGTGCGCAGCAAATTTTTCCACCTGGGTGAGGAGACAGCTCCGACCCCCCCGGGGATATTTCTGCAACGCAGCTCCCTCCGGAACGTGATCCCAGATCCCTGCCTTGGAGGGGGAGTGAAGATGCATTTCAGACTATAGCAGCACATTCAAATGTTTTTTTTCTTTTGTTTCTTTTTTTAAGACATCAGACTAGGTTTTAAGCTACCTAAAAAAAACACCAACCAGCTTCCGAGTGAGAGTCTCCTGTTGCCCAGGGAGCCAGGGAAGGGGACGGAGGGTGAAGGCACTCTTTGGGGAGGAGAGGAGACCAGCGTCCAGGCCCCACGCTGAGGAACTGCAAAGTCTTCCTCCCTCCCTGTTTCCCAGCAATTAACAATAAATTAAGCAGCCTCAGTGGGGCAGCGGAAAGCCCAAGGGGATTGAGCCCAAACCTCACCCAGGAGGCTTCTCCCCGAAGCGACGGCTTCTCTCCTGCCATCCACACAGACGGGGAGCACGTCCCGCACACAAGCCGTAAACCCAAAAATCCCAAATCTAACAGCAACAAGAAACAAGCCCCACGTTTCCCCCCCTTCCCAGCAGAAGCAGCCGCCCACCCCACCTCCCCAAGGAGCCACAGCGACCTGGCACAAAGCAATTGGGAGCGAGGAGCCAAAAAAGCACCTGCTCCCTCCTCCCAGTTCTCCCCCCTGAGCCACAAAGGCCTGGGGAGGGAGTTTGGGGGGGATTATGAGGGTTTTGGTCACAGGTGAGGGTCAGAGGCTCGTTATCCATGATTGGTGGCCCTCGTGGGGCTGGAAGTCATTTCGGACAACACCCCCCTGGGGAGGGCGGGGGGCGATCAGCAGCCAACCCTGTGACACCAACTGAGAAACGTTTTGACAACTTCATTTTGGGTCCTGCTCTCCCTCCCCCAGCCATTCTCCTGCCCTGCCACCACCACAACGGTCGCTGCACCCCGGCTGCCCGCTCCCAGCCCGCGGCCTGCTCCGCGCTCCCAGCGAGCGGAACAAATCCTGGGATGGAGAGGAGGGGGGGGGAGGCTGAACCCTGAGCCACAAAGGCCTGGGGAGGGAGTTTGGGGGGGATTATGAGGGTTTTGGTCACAGGTGAGGGTCAGAGGCTCGTTATCCATGATTGGTGGCCCTCGTGGGGCTGGAAGTCATTTCGGACAACACCCCCCTGGGGAGGGCGGGGGGCGATCAGCAGCCAACCCTGTGACACCAACTGAGAAACGTTTTGACAACTTCATTTTGGGTCCTGCTCTCCCTCCCCCAGCCATTCTCCTGCCCTGCCACCACCAGAACGGTCGCTGCACCCCGGCTGCCCGCTCCCAGCCCGCGGCCTGCTCCGCGCTCCCAGCGAGCGGAACAAATCCTGGGATGGAGAGGAGGGGGGGGGAGGCTGAAGATGAGGAGGAGGAGGAAGGGGATGCAGCGCCGTTCCCGGTGTCCAGGGCGATGTCCTGCCATGGCGGGGGGGCTCTCGGGGAGGGGAGGCCGGTCACAGGTTGATGTCCGTGACGTCTGTGGGGGTGCTGGTGGGCTGGCTGGCGGGGTACGCAGCAGTCTTGGCGGTGCTCAACTCCTGTTGGCTTTGGGATGCTTGTTTCAGGCTCTCGGCTAAAGCTGCCTCGATCTGCTCCTGACAGGCCTTCAGGCAGTCCTGCAGGAGAGGGAGCGAGACAAGAGGCCTCAGTTCTCTGCCACTCAGAGGTGGGAGCCTCCTAAATAGCTCTAAGCAGCTGCCGGGCTCCATCTCAGGCCCCTGGAGCATCTAAACACACAAGACAAAGGGGCCTTTCTCCAACAAGGGGCATCTCCAGCTTGTCTGTGCTTTAGGTCCCTCCCCAGGAGAAGCCCCACGCTCTGGTTTGTCTTCTCCCCACCTCCCTGCTTGACCACGTTCTTGAGGATATAGAGGTTGTGCCCATCGGAGCTTCCCCAGGCACCTGGGCTCGTGCCTGGATGCAGCGTGTGATTTCGGCGTCAGAGCAGTCAGCTGCTGCTGGCGACCCAGAGCAGAGCAGAACAGCTCCGTGCAGGCTCATACCAACCTTCACAACCAAGACCTCCCAGACTGATGAGTGATGGCCGGCGTGCAGCAGTGTGGGGGCACACAGGGACCTTGGAGCCCTCACCTGCCACCCCCACCTATGTCCCAGGGCTCCCGTGATCCTGCATCTCTGCTGTCACCCTCCCACATCCAGCTCTGCCTCCTCCTGTCCCTGCCAGGACACGGGGAATCCCCACTGGGTGCCCTGGCTGACTCCTCCACCATCTCCACCATCTCCACCATCTCCACCATCTCCACCATCTCCACCATCTCCACCATCTCCACCATCTCCACCATCTCCACCATCTCCACCATCTCCACCATCTCCACCATCTCCACCATCTCCACCATCTCCACCATCTCCACCATCTCCACCATCTCCACCATCTCCACCATCTCCACCATCTCCACCATCTCCACCATCTCCACCATCTCCACCATCTCCACCATCTCCACCATCTCCACCATCTCCACCTCTGAATCTTTGGGGACCTCAAAGGCAGCTGGATCCAACCCTCCCAGACCCAAGAGCCATCGCAGCCACGTGTTCCCTACAGCACTACACGCTGTCGACGCCGGGTCATTACGAGAATGATGCTGTGACCACACAGCTTCTCACAAGGGTTTTACCCTCCTGCTCTCCCCCGGGGAGCCCCGTGTGACTCACCTACACCTCCCCGGGCCGAGGGAACCCAGTGCTGGGGACACACAAGCAGGAAGGTGCAGGGGGACTGCAAGCAGTGGCACATCACTTGTAATAAAAGCAAACCCCCCTCCATTTGCACCCCACACAAGCTGTAACCAGAGGAGGAAACTCCTCCACTTTGTCACCAGAGCACCGGGAGCTGCAGGAGGCGTCACCAACGGGCACCCAGGGGTAAGAGGTGGCATTTCACACCTTGCGGCCAGAGCTGGACGTTAGGGGGGCACGGGCACAGGCTGGATATTGTCACACACCGAAATCTCTTACCAGGAATCCACCGCCAGTTCTTAGAAACTGACAGAGGATGTGGGGAGCGAAAATAGCAACGCCCACCTCCCCTTCCCCAGGCCGCTTCCCGTCAGCGCAGCCTCCAGCCCGCCCGCAGCCCCGGGCCGAGCGCGCTGCAGGGCCCCACCGCCCCACGCTCGCCATCGGCAATTCTGGCAGAAATGCTAAAAGCCACCTTGGCTACAGGCAGCCAGGCTTCCTGGCCGGCTGGAAAAACCTCAAGGGCTACCTGGATGTCAGTTTGGCTCGCCCCAGCCTGCGTGATCCCTGCTCCACGGGGCAGTCATGTCATAGGGCTCTGGATCAGACACCCAGCGGGGCTGGGTCTGCTCCACGAGGGATCAGGACTGGCCCAGAGCAGCTCCATGTCACACCCGAAGGACTGGCACAGCCAGGAATCACAGAATGACATGGGGTTGGAAGGGACCTCTGGAGATCATCTCCTCCAACCCCCTGCCAGAGCAGGGCCACCCAGAGCAGGTCCCACAGGAACGTGTCCAGGTGGGTTTGAATGTCTCCAGAGAAGGAGACTCCACCACCTCCCTGGGCAGCCTCTGCCAGGGCTCTGCCACCCTCACAGGAAAGAAGTTCCTCCTCATGTTTAGGTGGAACTTTTTATAGCCAAGTTTGTGCCCATTTCCTCTTGTCCTGTCCCTGGGCACCACTGAAAAAAGACTGGCCCCATCCTCCTGACACCCACCCTTTAAATATTTATAGGTGTTGACCAGATCCCCCCTCAGCCTTCTCTTCTCCAGGCTAAAAAGACCCAAGTCCCTCAGGCTCTCCTGTAACGAGCCAGCCTCAGCACAGCAGAGTGGCTCCCGCTGGCCATGGAGCCAGCACCGCCCCACACCATCGTCCCCCTCCGTCCCCACAGACTCCCCACACCCCAAGTCTGGTCGAGCCTCGGTGGTTGCGGGAAGGGGATCTCTCCTCCCACCTGGACAAGGGCTGTTTGTGCAGCTCCTCGCACCCAGGCAGGGCTGTGGGGCAGAACAGACACCCTCCCCGGGCTGAGGAGGGAGGAGAGGGGCTGGAGGGGGGGCAGAGGTGTGCTGGGCTCCACTGCAGCCCCCCCGGCCGTGCCCTCCCTGCTTCCCACCTGTTCCCACCCCCAGCCCCGACCCAGAGCAGGTTTCAGCCCCTGCCCCATTCACCGCAGCAGCTTGAGAGCAGCTGGCTGCACTGATTTTTCTCTTTAAAAAGGCTCCAGCAAACAAACAAAAAAAAAGAATAAAATAAATAAATAAATAAAATCAAAGCCACACAAATAGATCAGGACACCCTCCTGCCCCCGTCCCCTCCCTGCCTGGACAAAGCCTGGCTGCAGCCTCCCACCCGCCGCGGCGTCGGCACCTCTCCCAATTCCCGGCGCTGCTGTCAGGGGACTGTAACCAACCCCGCGCCCGGCTGCCGGCGGGAGCACTCGGGCAGAAGAAAAGATCAAAAGAGGCCCCTGGCAGAAGAAAAGCTCCCCATTACCTTACTGCAGCAGGAGCCACCTGGAAAGAGGGACCCCAAAAAGGTCCCCCTTCCCCATTCAAAGGGCTGTAGGGGGTGCCAGGCAGACACCCCCACCATCCCGGTGTCCCCAGAAAAGCTGCTGTGAAATATTTTGTGCCCCCAACCCCCTTCCCAGCAAGTCTGGGCACCTGCAACCAGACACCGGTGGGGGTAGCAGATGCCGAGCCCGGCTTCTCCCTCTGCCCCATCCCACCTTGTCAACCCGATCCCACCAACACCTGCCCCACACGGGGAACAGACGCTCCCCTTTGTGCTGCTCCTCAAAGGCTCCCGCCTCGTCCCGCGCGGCGCAGGCAGTGCTCGGTGCCCAGGAGCAGACTGCAGCCACGGGACCGACCAAAGCTGCTGTGTTTGGAGATGCTCACTCATCTCTAGGCACCCTCAGACCAAGGTCGGCGTCGTTACGAACGACCTAATTTGCTCCCCCCTTGGAGAAGAAGAATGAGGAGCAGGAAGGGGAAGGGTTTCCACCAGATCCAGCAGCAAAACTGCTTCTGCTGGTCCCCCCGGGGAACACTCACCACCTCCGTGCCCGTGATGCTGGCCAGCAGCTCGGTGATGGCTTCCCCGGTGAAATTGTTCACGGAGACCGTCAGGCCGTGGATCGCCGCCCCGATGCTGCCCGTCGCGATCATGGAGGGGGGGTACATGGCAAAGTTCTGCTGGTCCCCCCGGGGAACACTCACCACCTCCGTGCCCGTGATGCTGGCCAGCAGCTCGGTGATGGCCTCCCCGGCTGGTCCCCCCGGGGAACACTCACCACCTCTGTGCCCGTGATGCTGGCCAGCAGCTCAGTGATGGCCTCGCCAGTGAAATTGTTCACGGAGACCGTCAGGCCGTGGATCGCCGCCCCGATGCTGCCCGTCGCGATCATGGAGGGGGGGTACATGGCAAAGGTGTAGTCTGGACAGGGGGCAAAAAGAAGCTGTGAGCAAGGGTGCACATGGGAAGTTCTGGGGACCATGATTTCCCTGGAAAACCAGAGAGGGCCAGGCAGAGGGGTCTCTCCAGCTCAGCAGGGAGAAATGGGGGCGAAGGAACAAGACACAAGCTGAGCGTCAGAGCAGCGAGTTCACTCAGCTGCTTCTCTGGGTCTGTCTCATCACAAGAAGTCTTGACGATGAGGTGGCTCCAGTGACTTAGAGGGAGGCTGGCAACAGCTCAGATTCAACCCTGCCTTTACCCAGGGTGTCCTCCCTCGGTCACAGCCTGTGCAGCCAGAGGGGTGGCTCGATGGCTTTGCTCTCTCCTGGCATCTTCCAGGCACCCACTAAAAGCCCCCAGGACCGTTATCCCACTTGGACAGGGGGAGAAAACATGTCATCAAGTGGCAAAACACTCCAAATTGAGTGAAGGCAGGAGTTCAGCTCCCCAGAAAGCCAGGGCATTGTAGTGACAGGACAAGGGGTAATGGTTTTAAATTGGAAGAGGGGAGATTTAGATTGGATATTAGGAAGAAATTCTTTGCTGTGAGGGTGATGAAACACTGGAACAGGTTGCCCAGAGAAGCTGTGGCTGCCCCATCCCTGGAGGGGTTCAAGGGCAGGTTGGAGGGGGCTTGGAGCAACCTGGGCTGGTGGGAGGTGGCCCTGCCCAGGGCAGGGGGGTTGGAACTTGATGATCTCTAAGGTCCCTTCCAACTCTAACCATTCTGTGAGACCAGCCCCAGGTCACCCAGAAGCCAGACTCCAGACCCTCCCCAGCGTCCCGTTGGTGGCTCCAGCAGGAGCAGGCACCCACCTGTGGCACACAGGGCGATAAAGGTCTGTGCGTGTTTCTTCACCAGCTCCACCTTGTCCTGGGGCAGCGGGAGGTGATGGAGGATGGGAGCCAAGAAATCATTTGCTATCACTGAGACCAGGTCCCACTTTAGCTTCTCCAGGACTAGAAGTTCCCAATCCTGCAGAGTCAGACAGACAGACAGTTATCCAGCGGGGCTAAGGCCAGGCAGAAACGGTCACCAGATTCCAGGGCAGAGAAGGCCAGCGTTTGGGGAAGGGACAGGAGGACAGCAGAAGCCATGAGACAGGGAGGAGAAGAGGGAACATCTCTGGCTCGATGACTGGCACAAATCCAGCCTTGAGTTGTTGCAAAGCTGGGAATAAAGATCAGGGAAAGCGATAAGTTTGGTTTCTTCTTTGCAAGGTGCAGCTGGATTCACCTTCGATGCTCCTCTGCTTTGCAAGGCTCCTGCAACAGCCCACAGAGGGAAAACCAGAGCAAGGAGCAGCAAGGACACCATTCCCACATTCCTTCTCCTCTCCCAAAAGGAGAGGCTGATGTCCAGGCTCCCAGGAACAATCCAAGTTGGGGCCAACACCGTTACAGCAAAGGGAACAGAGCAGCTCAGCTCTCTGTGCCCCCCTGAGCCGGCCACTGTGCTGACTCCTTCCTACAGTGGCTCTTGGGCCAGTGAAGCACAGGAGGCAGTAGCCGCCCTGCAGCCAGCCCTTCTGCACAATGTGTTGAAGTGGAAGGCAGAGGAAACACAGCTGAGCTTTTGGGGCTGCATCCAGACAAGCCCAAGCTCCTGTACGAGATCTTCAATCCCCGTGGAGCCCCGGGGCTGTCATTAGGAGCCGAGGTCTCCAGCCCAACAAACACTGGGCACATGGCCCCACCAAGGTGGTCCCAAGCTGGGCACTAGCACTTTGGCAGAACCTCCCCCACTCATCACACCTCTTCTCTGCCAAGAGAGCCTCCACCATGCTCAGCAGAGCAGCCCCAGCAGCTTTTCAGGGGGAAGAGGCCATTCTGACACCCACCTCTCCCACCAACACACACACACAACACCTCACTGGCACTTCCCAGTTACGTACCAGGGACTGCCAATGTCTCCAGCCCATCTCGTGGTGCTCTCTTTAAGCATCTAACAGAGATTTCTGTCATATCTTCCCTGAGCCAGTCCCTGTGCAATCTGCGAGCTGGGGAGCAGATGGTGGGAGGGCCGGGTGCCCCCCCATGGATTTCAGCTGGAGCCTGGGCTGCTCCTCTCATCTGCTCAGCTCTGGGCATTAGTCCTGACACCAACAGGGAAACCGAAGTGAAGAAACCTTGGCAGAGAGTCATCACCCAGCAAGTCCTAGTGTCACCAGGTGGTACCACAGCACCCACCCAGCAAGGTTATCAGCAAGGGGAGCCCCACAACTAGAGCCTTAGCACAGAATGTGGGACCCCTGCATTCAGGTCCCCCTCTGCCATCAAGGCGAAGGTCTACGTGACTTAGAGTAGCAGAGTCCACACACGTACTGGTCTCACTGGGCTGGGCAGGCTTTGATGTTACATCTGGGTATGATTGTCCCACAGACAGAGCCATCTCAGGAGAGGGGAGAGCAGCGTCTTCCCAGGATGGTTTCCCTTCCCATCCCAGCAGGAACATCCCAGGCAGCCCACACCCAGCCCCCCCAGCCTCTCTGCCGGTCCCAATTCCCCCACGTCCCGAGCCACAATAAAGATCCCTTTCTCCCAATTTCTCTCATCTTCTGGACCAGCAGCAAACCTGGTTTCAGCAACAGGGTCCAGGTGTGGCAGAAAGGCCACAGAAGATGTCCCCGTGACCCTCCTCCCCACCAGCAGCGGGTGACAGTGGCCCCGTAGATGTGCTGGGGAAGGAAAACACCCTGCAGGAGCTGAAGCTCCAGGTCTGGAAGGACAGAGCTGAACTGGGATTGGTATCGGGTATCTCCATTTCAGGGCCCAGTCCTGCCCAGCAGAATATCTATTCTTTCCCCAAGCAGTCTAGGATTACACGGTCAATGCTGCCACAGACGTGCCAAAGGGCTGCCAGAACAGATGGGTTTGAAGAAGTGAGATTTTTTCATAAGGGCAGATCTTCATTTTCTCTCTCCTTTTTTTTTTTCAAGCCACTCTTTCCCCTTACACAACAATACCAGTTTTCAGTTGCTTAAATGAGCAGCATTGCTCAACCTGCTCCAAACCCCTCACGAGGCCAAATGTGCCACTTGCCATTTCACAGCCTGCACTCTTCCAACCAGAAATGGTGCTTCGCTCGCTGGTCTCCCATATGGATGACCAGGCTGCCAGTCTTTCTATAGATTTTTTTAAGCCAAATTCACAGGATTAAAAGCAAGAAGAAACCCAGCAATGAGCTCCAGAGCCTGAGGATCGGAGCACAGACCACCAAGGCTGCCTGGTGCAACAAAGGGGTTGGGAGAGAGGGGAGAGAGGAGGGATAGGTAAAAAGAGGGAAAAATGGGTAGTGCTGGGCACGGGTTGAATGGCAGCAACCCAGCAAGGTGACACATGGAAAGAGCTGCTGGAAATGGAGAGCTCTGTGTGTTGTCCCTACCTGTCACTCATTGGGAACTGTGAAAGGTGGCTGTTCACTCCTGCATGAGCCCAGTTTCTTGGAAGGGACACAGGATGCTGCTGTTGCCACCTTTGGGGTTGCTGCCCCAAGGGCAAGAGGCTGAGGCAGCTCCAGCCTGAGCTCTCCTGTGAGCTGGGAGCACAGCCCTTCTGCAGAGCGAAGCTCAAAGGGAGGACCTGGAGATTGGTGCTCATGAAACAAACCCCAAAGGGATCACACTACACCTGAGAGAGGGGCTCCTGAGCACAGAGGGGTCACCACCACAGCATCATCTGGGCTCTTGCTCCTTGCCTTTCTTCCCAGAGCTGCAAATCAGCTACTGGGAGCCACCAGAGGCAAATGACGTCCACACTGTCCCTGGTGCCTGTCCCATTTTGTCCTGAGGAGATTCAGGGTGCCAGTCATCTCAGCTGCGAGACCCCACCTGAGACAAGCTGGGTCCTGCCACACCAGGACTGATCCAGGACAGCAGTCTGTCCGTCTGCAACGCACAAAAGCAGCTCTTTTCCAGCTAGAACCCAGGTTCATCGTCTTCTTAAAAACCTTCTTCTCACAAAAGGCCTGATCCCAAGACCCAGCCGGCGCTTGAGGTGCCAGCTGAAGGCGACAGGCGCCAAGGACTGTCACCAGCTCACAGGATTTAGCTCAGGGAAGCCTCTCTCCTGCCAAACCACCCTGCTCCTCGCTTCACTCCTGCTAACCCTGGGGACTTCCCATGTCAGAATCTCTGAATCACTTTATCTGTGGAAGAAGCAGAACAAAAGGCAGCGAGAGATAGACAAGCAGGTTTGCAACAGCAGCACCACTCAGCACAGCAAACATCCTTTTCCTGGCATTTTGTTTTGCACCTAATTGAATCAGTCTCTGCCTGGCTAATGAAAGAGAGGAAGAAAGTGGAAAATGTTCCTTTGTTTCTCCAGCTTGTGGAGCCCACCCTCCTCGTGGAAGAGCTGCGAGCTGCCAGGGCTGCCCACCGAGCATCCCAGAGCTGGGAATGCATCAGGTCCCCCCCCTTCTGCAAGATCCCCCCCCAGGGCAGAGCTCCCCACGCTTGGCCAGCATCTATAGGGCTGGAAATTGCACAGCAGCTGAGCTTCCCCCCTCTGCAAGCTTGCTCCCTTGATCTCTCCTGGCTGCATCCCACGAGAGAAAACAAAAAAAAAAAAAAGGAAGGAAAGCAGCAACCATTTCCCATTGCCTCCCCTGTGACAAGGAGATCTCAGAGCTCAGTCTGGTTGCAGTGAAACAGCCTCAAGCCCCTGGTTGTTGCCTCTGCACCCTCTAAGACAGACCTGAGTCACAAGCAGAGACTGTTTTACTCAATTGACAGCTCTGCAAACGCAGACTGGGATGTGACAGTCACACCAGCTTCTTTTCATGTAGCGACAGTCGCTGTACATCAAGCTGTACCCTCAGCAACACCCACACACCCGCTGTGCCTACAAGGAGCCTGTGAAAACCTCTCTGGCGAGGCTGCACAGGGAGCAGAGAGCCCAGCTCCTCTCTGCAGCAGCCCCGGCTGCAGGAGAAAAGGAAGTTGCGCTCAATTTTTGTCACCCGAGTTGATAAGGTACCATTTGACATTCTGACAGAGTCGATGAGACACCAGCGACGCGGGAGCGGGCTGTGCTCACGAGCTGACTCAAACGGAGGGTGGAAAGAGCTGCTGATGTTGCTGGTGGCCACCCACCCTACCCGGAGCTGAGACACAGCTACAGAAATGAGCAGCCATGAAAGTCCATTTGCAAATAGGAAACTGGGGGCAAACGTCTGTTTCCAGCCCCTGACCAGAGTTCAAGGCTGGATCTCAAGGGGAGAGGTGCCAACTTCAGATGCAGAAACGGTCACATCCATCTGACCCATGATGGGCAGAAGGTAGAACAGTAAAACACAAGCATGTCATCTGTAAAGTCAATGTTCTATCATGAATGAACATCCTTTTCTACTCAGCTGTTATCTCTTTCTCTTATTCTCACTCCTCACAGCCTGCTGTCACTGCTGCTCCCTTCATTACCTGGCCAAGTGCTCAAAAACACCCAGCAGTTTGTAAAACTGACCTTAGATCAAAGATATCAGAGGAAAGACAGTGTATCAGGGGCAAACCAGGCAGATGAAGGTGACCTACAACTGCTCTCCCCAATCTTCAGGCAGCTGAACACCCTCTTGCACAGGCCAGAAAAGCCTTCATATTAAAAAAAAAAGAAGGAAAAAAAAAAAGAAAAGGTAGGTTAGATAACGCCCTCAACGGAAATCCAACTTCCTCCAAATGGACAAGTCCCTCGTTGCATCATTTCCTTCTCCCTAGAATAACTTCATCAAGATTTTGTTTCAAATATGTCCTGCCTAAACCGCGGAGCTGGTGCCAAGCATCCCTGCAAGAGAAGGAAGCAAACCTACTGGGAAAGGGACCAGCTTCCTCCGTGGGGCCGGGGAGGACACGCTGGAAGCTGAGATGGCACCGATCCACAAGAAGAGGCCAGGATGCACCATTGTCCAAACCTTGATGAAGAAGCTCCCCTTCCCCTCCCCACCCTCTTCCACTGCAGGATTGTGAAAGAAAAGTAACATTACCACGATTAGCACAGAGGAGGAAAACAGCAGCTCGCCCTGGTTTTGTAATCAGGGTATTAACTCTTGTCAGGTCCCAAAGCGAAGACAACTCCTTCACGTATCTTCAGAGGTTACCTCCATTCCCCCTCTGGAGCAGTGGGAGACCAGAGCGGGATCTGCTCCAAACAGGGTAAAACATCTACCAAAAGTCAGCCTTGTGGCAGGCAGGGAATGATGACCACCTACAGAGCATCCCCTGCCCAGAGATCTGAAAATGCCTCAGCTCCTCTCCTTAAGGGCTGTGGCTCCTTTGTGGTGCCTTCTGCTCAGCCCTTTGGTACCACCAGCCACCAGGAATAAAGCCCTCCACTGCCCAGTGCTCACAGCTATCCCTCTGGGAAAGAGAAAAAGGATCCCATTTGCCTGAAAATGCTATCTTTGGCTATCCCAAGAAAGGACTTTTGACCCCCAAAATGAAGCCATTTTTGTCCACCTCAACCACGTATTGATTACGGTGAAAGAGCTCCAGGCCAACTGTCCAGCTGTGCTTCGTGTTCTGAGCATCCCAGGATCCTGGTGGGGACAAAAGTACAGGAAAGGAGAACTCCAGCACCAAGCCCTGCACAATCAGAAGTGAGCAAGAGGCGGCAGACAGCACTGTCCTCCATCTCCACCCCAATACTGCCAGGAGGAGGGAGAAGGGAAGATGAATATTGTGGCACTGCTTAAGCCACAGCTTCCTGCTGACAAACCTCTGGGGGGGTGGAACAAAAAAAGACTCCGAATGAGGAGGCATCAGCATTTCAGCTCGAGGGTGAAGGAAAACCTCCAGGGATGGTGCACAGGCTGTGCCCACTGCCCACCTGCACAGCTCCTAACCGTCCTCCTTTGGAGGGAGCTTGCTACAAAGTTCAACTGAAAAAAAAAAAAAAAGCAAACCCTCACCAAGAATAAATCAACAACTAGATCAGAATGAAATGCAGCTGGGATCCATAGGAGATACGCACAAGGTGTCCACCAAGTCCAATTCCTTGTATCCCAAGGTCCATGTTGCAGAAATGGCTAGAATTTGCTGTGATGATCTCCCCTGGTCCCCAGGGAGGATGGACTAAAGGACTCCTGTTAAAGCCTGGATTGAAGAGGGAGGTGGAGGTGAAGTGTGGCAGTAAATTCAGTCCTGCAACCCATGTTCCTGTTGGACAGAGAGCTCATCCATCATGCTGAAGGGTCAGAAACCTGACACTGGCCCACAAAATGCATTTTGGTCAGCTTCACGCTCCACAAGAACATGGAGAGCACTGTCCTTGCTTTGAAACCCAGCCCACCTGCCTACAAGAGGACAGTTAGGCACCTTCTGCTCAGCCTGTGGCCTCTGCACCAGAGGTAACTTCTGTTGGCCCAGCAGAAAAGTGAACACAAACCAACTCCTATTCCCCCTGCCTTTTTTTCCAGCTAATTGTTAACCCCCTCATTATCACAGGGCCAACAGAGAACCTTCCGTTACAGGCTGAGATTTGCTTCACGTGATGGATCCCAGCCCTGGAAGATACTCATGCTGGATGAGAAGGTGCTCTCAAGGATGAAGCTTCACCAACAAGGCAGGAGAAAGCCTTTGCACACACAGATTTTTATGTCAGCCCCCCAGCAGCAGGATGCTGCAGCACGGCCACAGCTCAGCATCCAGAGAAACAAGGAGCAGTTGTGTTTCCTCTGTGCATTCCCATCCCTTCGTGGTCATGATCCACGTACTTTCTCTGTCGGTGCTACTTAAGGCAACAACCACCCACAAACGAGCACAGGAGAGAGGGAGGGAGGAGGGGGGATTTTCCCCAGCCTTCACTGCCACTTGGAAAAACCATGTTCATATCAGAGCTCCCCAGTTACGAGAACTTCCGATTCACACCTGAAAGTTTTGCGGGTTCACTCCCCACCCTGGGGACAAATCACACTCAGATTATCTCACCCACCCCAGACCAAAAAAATAGATATTTAATAAAGCGATGACTAACCCTGAGAAATTCTCGTAGGCAAACCGTCTCCAGGGATGTTTGTTACTCGAAGTGAGGTGGCCGTTTCCTCCCGAGGGCTCTGATCTACCAGCACGGAAGGCCCCCCCCTACCAAGAAAAGGGGTTCTCCAGTTTCCTCCCCCATTGGCAAAGCTGCACTCACGAGGTTTGGATCTTTGCTTTGAACCTTGATCAGCCGAGAAAATGCTTTTCCTTTCAAAGCCTACACAGCTTCTGCCTGAGTGTACCACAGGAGAGGCAGAGGAACCCTGCTTTAACCCAAGGGTGCGGAGCAGGACCTGGGCACCAACAAGGTCCCACTTGTGTCCACCACCTTGGCAGCACCATCAGGCTCCATGGTACAACCCAGCCAGCTGGATCCTGGGTCAGCAAAGCTCCCACCCACTTTCCTGGTTAACTCCCCACTTAAAGCTTCATTTTTCCTACTGGTGTGAAAATGCATCTCAGATGTCATGGCCCTTTGCAGCCGGGGCAAGTCAGAGCCGCGCGCCCTGACGGCAGCCCCCGCAGACCAGAGCCTTTGTTCTCCAAAGCTGTCACTCGAGAGCGACCCAGCACCCAGGAGCCAGCTCAGCGTGGCAGCTCCACGCTGGCAACCAGCACTTCAGGCACAAGGAACTTTCTCTCTAACCCAGAGGTGACAAAAAACCGATTCCCAGAGCTTGGAGCGAGCGCCTGCCCAGGATGGAAAGGTCTCCACCAACAGACATCACACCCAGCGGGGCAAGGAGGTGAGAAGGTGGGTTGGGGAACGCAGAGGAAGGTGAAGAAAGGGGAGGAAGAGGACAGGAGGAGACCCAGAGGCAGGTACGCTGCCAAGTAGCAGGATGCAGGAGATAAAGAGAGCAGGGGAGGGGATGGAGGGGATGAAGTGAGATAGGGGTGGTTACCAGGAGCTGCTGAGGGGTGATGGAGTTGTCCGTGTAAATGCAGAGTTTCTCCACGGTCAGGGGCATGGTTTCTCTCAGCTTGGAAGCCAGGAGCATGCAGACTGCCCCCAGAAGCTGCAAGTGATTCTTCCTACGCTGCCAAGTAGCAGGATGCAGGAGATAAAGAGAGCAGGGGAGGGGATGGAGGGGATGAAGTGAGATAGGGGTGGTTACCAGGAGCTGCTGAGGGGTGATGGAGTTGTCCGTGTAAATGCAGAGTTTCTCCACGGTCAGGGGCATGGTTTCTCTCAGCTTGGAAGCCAGGAGCATGCAGACTGCCCCCAGAAGCTGCAAGTGATTCTTCCTCACCGGGACTGAGGACAGGTAACGATCCACGTAATTCATGGCCAAGGGGAAGACCTCTTCTTCGCACTTCTGCTCCTCGCACACCTGACAAAACCCAATCACAAAAATAATAAAAAAAAAAAATAAAAGGAAGTTTTAATCAGCACAGGACTCCCCCGATCCTGCCTGCAGCACAGCTTCAAAGCTTCTGGTCATGATGGGGTTTTCACACTTATCTTCAGGGCTTTGAAGGCAACTCGGTGCTAAGGAGTAAATTAGCTACAGGTGTTAAGCCTATGACTTCAGTGGGATTACACCAGTCTGACCAATGCCTTAGGACTTCACCTCTCTGTGGAACCCTGCAGAGCTTGTATGTAGCTATAAAAAGTGCACAAATAAGTTAAGACCAAAATTGCATTATTTGTCTCCTATTTAATGTCCCCTGTTGGGGATGTCCCCAGCCAGCTCTACAGCAAAACTTCCATGTTCTGCTCTGCGGGGACGGGGGACCTCTGGAGAAAAGGAGCAATTCCAGCATATCTCCAGCTGGAGATCTAATGGAGCAGGATCCACTGCCACTTCTGGCAATGCCACCCAAAGTGGTCCAGAGACACGAGAAGAACCAATGGCAGAGCCCAAATCGATGGTTAAGTCCTGAAGTCCTCCCTCAGCCACAAACAGAGCCCAGAAGTGCTGAATTCCAGTCCTCTGCTCTTATCCCTCAACCAGTATCACAGCACTGGTCATACTGAGCTTCCTTCTCTCAATGGAACCATGAAAATATTGAGGTTTCTCCTTCCATTCTCCCTCCAGCAGTGAGTGCCTCCCCCTGCCCAGGCAGCCACAGCACCGGGGACACCAGCACACACCGTGGTGACAACTGCCAAGTGTCACCCACTTCTTGACCAACCTTTTGGGCTGCAGAGCAACAGGCTCCAAAGCAGCCTCTCTCTAACTCCCCTTCTCAGAAAGGGAATTGCAGAAACAGAACAATAAGAGCAGGGAGAGGGGATAAAAAGGAAAAAAAAGCCCTTTAAAAAGCAATATGTTCATTATTTCTTCTGACAGAAGCAGGCAGCTTCTTGCAACAGCGGCCGGGGTGGAGAGCAGGCAGGCTCCATCCCAAAGTCATTTGTCCTTTGCAGAATCTTTCTCTATTGAGACCGTTCCCTCTGACCGTCTCACGAAGAGACCCAGGAGATTTCCCCCGACTGAACTGCAGCCCGCAGAGAGCTGCATTCATTTGTAATTTAGGGAAGTAAACGGTAGTGATATTATTCCTCCCCCCGGCTTTAACCAGGCGTTTTCAGCCCCATTCAGAAAACGCGAGTCTCCAGCCTGCCCGGGTGCAGAACCGAGCTCCCCCTGCCCAAAACCAAGCTCCCCCTGCCCAGAAGTTTTGGGGAGCAGAGGGTCCGACAGCAGTTGTGGCAGCACACCCCGAGGGTGGGATGAAGGGGTTCGGAGGGGGGAAAAAGGGGGGTCAGCTCCTCCTGCATGGGATAATCCCATCCCCTAGCACAGCCAGCGCTCACGGAGACACTGCCCCGCTGCAAACTGCCTTTCGCACCCCGCTCCGGACCCTCCATGTGCG